TGTGTGTGTGTGTGTGTGTGTGTGCGCATGCGCACGCTTGTGCAAAGGCTGCAAGCTAATCTGGACACACTGGTTGCTGCTTACCAGTCTCAAGGGTAGATTGCTAAAGACGGGAAAGAAGCCTCACTCTAGACCATCAGATCAATTTTCACTGAACCCTGAATATTTCATGCAGCAAGTCTTACAGTAGAAACCCAGATGGGCTATTGAAATGGAAAAGCTACATGTCCATAACTCACACCCCTCCTTTCACCCAGAGGGACAAGCTTCAAGAATGATGTCTGGATCATGTTTCTGGTCACACCAGCCATGTGGTTTATGTAACCTCGTGCACAGCAGCAGCAGATTCAAATATGTGATTGCTACGCTGTTATGCTTATGATGCAAAGAGTTATTATAACAGATCTCCGTGTTCGAGGGTGTATGGAGTGTAATAATGTAACTGATCTCTAAAGAAAGCGGGAAGTTTGACTGCACATCTCGCCAGAACTCAACTTCTCGGTGTCATTATATATTAATCCAATTTAGAGCAGAAACAAACATTTTTTGATAATTTGTACGTAGTTACATATTTTATTGTATTAATTGCATTCAGTTGTATTTATATTGTATAAAGTTATGTATTCATAATGAAAAGTGGACAGCAGCATTTAAATTAAACAATGAAAACATTACAAATTAACTAAATATAAATATCAAATATCGTCTCTCTGAATTGGTAAACCTCAGATAAGAATGAATTCGTTAAGTAATTTTGAGAATTTCACCAAACCTCGGTGTTGCGCATGCTGCTGTGTTTGAATGAATTAATGGATGCATGCATAATTTGCGATTTAATTTACTAACGCGAATATAAACGTAAAGTCCGATCAAATTTGTAGTTAGAGTTGACATTAATTAATCTTATTTTCCTTGTCATCCGTTCCTAGCAGAACCTGTTTCAAGCATGCAGGCCTAGACAATAAGGCAAAAATGAAATTCATATTAAAAACGCACACATCCATAAACCTGTTCAATGGCTGAGAGCAACCTGTTGATATTCCTGATTGAGAGGATCAGTGGAGAGGAGGGAACTCTTTTCACCAAAGGTAGAAAATGTAGCCTACACTTTTCACGGCGTCATTTCAACTAATTAGCCACACATCTGATTAAAAAAAGAATTTTGAGATTTAAAAAATATGTAACTATTTAAAATCACAGTTTAGACTACTAAGTGAATGTATGGTAATTCTCTATAGATGTAGCCTATTTTTATTAAGTTTATATCACAAAGAAGGAGAAATGTTGCGTTGAATTCAGCTTTAATAGACTTAAAACTTAAAGATCTGCGCAAAAAAAAGAGTGTCAAAAATAAGTAGCTTAATTAAGTAATTTTTTTAATGGAATGTAATTACATCAAAACTATGTTCTCTAAAGTGAAAATATTTTGTGTGTGTGTGTGTGCGCGCGCGCCGTTTATTGAACCATAGCTTCAATATATTTAAACTTTCTTATTTTTCACAGCTTACCAAACTGTATCTTATAAAAGTGCATACACTTTTTTAGAAATAAATGAAAATATTTAAAAGTGATATTTTTGATACAGGATTCGGGATTAAATGCACAGGACAATTAATCAGTCCTTTTTAATCATGTTAATTGTTTTTTGTGTTTTAATTTGAACACATTTTCTGTCGATTAGAACCGAAGAACATTCTACGTGGCTGTACGTTTCACCTAAAACATATATAATGTATCCACATTTAAACCATATTAACAGTTAAATATATTTAAAAAAAAAACTAAAACATAACAAAAACTAGGACACGTGTAGCCTATACATCTAATGCATTAATTCATCCTATTCACATGTTCCGTGCAAATTGTCATCTTTCTTGTCTGGCATCATCGAAAACTTTTTGCCGTAAAACCTCCAGCTGGGATTAAAATAAAGCATGCTAGTCTATTAATCGACATTATCAAAGACTCGGTCAGGTTATTATCTCATTGTTGGCTGCAGTCATAGATGTTTCCTTCGACATAATGAAACATGGGCTAGTATAGTCTGCTTGGAAAATAGGGAAGTCTGTCATAATACGCCTTCGCCTGCCAATTTAAAAGGCTTGTTGAGAAATTACTCCCTCTAACCGGGGGTGTCTTGGGTCCAGTGACCCGCATCGGACTGGAGTCTCATAATCTCATGACATAAAACACTTTCCTACGAGAGCAGAGACGCGCAGGACCGGCAAGTATATGGAACAATGTTGGCGCTTTACAAATTGGCTTTACTTTCGTTGTTTGGTCTGCGTTCATTGAGGTTCGCTTCATCGTGCATGTACGAGCTGATCATTTTATCATGTTTAATCCGGATTTAGGGTGAAGTAGCTCACGGGTTCCAGACAACCTGGCTCCAGCAGTCTAATCTATGGGCTGAGGGCTGTCTGTTCGGGCAACGAGACAGGTGTAAATCTCTTTGACAATCTTTGCTTTTTGATTGCAGGAGTCATATCTGCAGGGTAGGGAATGGATCTGAAATGGATCATTAAAATATTGGTCACATTTGTTACTTGTATGCTGATGCAATATCTAGACTGCTGTCTACCCGTTATAATAAAATTAGAAGTTCTGCTGTGACGATCATATATTAAATTATTTGTGAAATTCGACTCTGTTGGACTAGTTTGTATCAATAAATGTATTTATTAATTTAAAAAATGCGTGTTCATTGTATCATTTAAAAATAATTCGATTCTTGATTTTTGGCGCAAGTTTAAATCAACTTTTTTCCATTTTTTAACATTTGCGTTGACTTTTAGCACCAACTGGTAGTTTACGACTATACAGCAAACCATTACCAGCATCCTTAATGTATTTCAGAAGTTATACTGGATTGCACAATGACGCTGTTAACTGCTTCTCTTTCGTCTTTATGGACTCTAAACAGAATGCCGCAAACACTTCCCTCATTTATTAATTTCTATTCACTGTTAATGGAGGGGTGTGTTTGTGTGTGTGTGTGTGTGTGTGTGTGTGTGTGTGTGTGTGTGTGTGAGAGAGAGAGAGAGAGCGTTGGTGTCATGCTTGATTAGGGCTTGCTCCCTAAAGATGGCGAGAAAACTGAGATAATGAGGTCCTGTGATTACCTTTTTCCCATGGACTGGAGCTGTCGCCAGTTCACAAAACCACACTGTACACAGGCACAGCGATACTCACTTCTCATTTAACACACACAAAAGCTGATCTCCAACAACAAACTGGGGACTGGGGACAAATCATAAAATGTCCACCCGTATCCAATCGCCACTAATTAACTGCAATCCCACCTTCCTCGTTTATACAGCGACCAATTCATTTTCTATGTATGTCAAAGGTCCATAGGCCACAGTCGGTCGCCAGGGACATTTGTGCAGCTCTGCAGCTTATTTGTGGGCCGTGGATCTTATATTAATTAGTTCATGACCCGGTGCTGAGGTTATGGGCTCTTCCCTGCCGCGGCCTGAAAACCAGAATGTTTCCTAATCGGGTTTTTAATTGGTTTGTTGAACAGCGCGTTGGGAGTTTGAATGGGATGGACGTGCTGAAATCAGAGGAAGTATGAGTTTGTTTGTTTTGATTGGAGAGTCAAACACGATTATTTTGTGTGGTATATGTGAACCTACATAAAGATGCATGCTGAAAGGTATTTCGAAGCTACTAAATACTTAGATACTAGGTTATTTGTTTGTGTATTTATGTACGTTTGGTTATCTAGAACTAAAAGTGTGGTAAATTCGGATTTGCTTCCAAAAATTATATTAGAGAAAAAGGCACACTTCAAAAAACGATTGAATGCGTTGCAAAGCCAGTAATACAATGCGGTTAAAATAATAGCATATTAAAATACTTCGCAGGTCTAAATTTACATGGCAGACAACAAGGTGTTATGTAGGTCTTCTGTGAATAGTATGAGCATCTAATTTCAATAGAGATATAATATGATCAATGCTGACAGTATTTTGAAAAGAAAATAGTTTTTTTTTCTCAACGTAGAAATTGAGTGAGCGTGTGCTAAATAATCGCTTCCCACTTTCTCTTCCATCTCTTAAGCATCATCGTGTTCTTACACTGTCACGTTAAAAATTGCTCCAGACAGTTGTATAGCATTTACATATTGCATGACTGCACTGTAGGCCTTCAAGACCAGCGCTTAGACCTTGAACCACATCATCTATGAATAATGTAAGTGCCTCGCTATATGCCTCCCCTAAGCTACCAGTACCTAAATGAATAGATCTCTAAAATGCCACATGCGTGCAACTATTTTACAAAAAGGCAATTTCGTACAAATACAATTTGCCTTAAAAATAATAATAAGCATGAAGCTGCACTCCCAACTCCATCAATTTGCTAAAACTTTTTATGAGCCTTTTTTCACGCTGTGATAGCGAAACGTTTGAAGATTTTGGCCTAAGTTCAACACCTTTGAATTTGAAATCTCTCGCGAGGAAACGATTAGGTTTTCAGGTTGACCTTTGTGTGGTTTGGATACCGCGTTGAAAAACTAATACACGGTTTTGTGTGTTTTGCATATAGTTGTCAAATAAATGAAAACACTCTCTATCCCCTTTTAATGTGTCAATAAAAAACTAGAAGTCATTATTGCACGTTTAGACGAGTGAAGCTATTTCTTTAGCTCACTTCCATCTTATTTGGTGCTTTCTGCTCCAATCAGGTTCGCTAGACTCTGAAACACTCCCCCTCTTCATGCAAAACAGCTGTGGGAACTTTAATACATGAAAGCTCAAAACCGCATCGACTTCCTTTCGTTTTCAAGTCACTTTACGTCAGCCATACGGAAAACAGATAAACATTCAAGCCCTTTAACATAAAGTGAGGGCTGGATATTTCTTAACACGCTTCACAGCCTATATTCAGCGTGATGTGCATTTGAAATTGAACATAGCTAAAGAGGCTTTCTTTAATGACGTGACATTCCACAATAAATTACAATATTTGTCTGCACATTAGCAAAAAAAGAGGCACGTATCCATTAACGCATCTCTGATATAAACATCGATACGAACATATACATAAATAGAATAGGCACTTTTTTTTAAATATCTGGGTTAGTATAATTATATTAAAATATATACTACTTTTTTGGCGGGGAAAAGTCTATTTTTATACTCTTGAGAGAGCAAAACATCTAAAAATGAGTAAAACAGGTAGATTATTGTATGGTAGATTTTAGAATCACTCAGCATTGAAACGAGTGGTGCAGAAAATAATGCATGGACTCCTGTGCACCAGCTCATCTTCAGCTCTATCAGATTTATTGGTTCTTTAAATGACAGACAGATAGTTATAATGGACACACGTGGCAACATCTAGACAACATACACTTCACACTAAAGCAGATTACACTGATTATGGAGGACAGCCTCAAGAAGCTTCATTACAGGAGAAAATATTTACACTGAACATAACCAGATTAGATGAACCAGCTCTTAAATGAGTTAATCCGTGTAATAATTGCAGTATAGTTCCCATGTGTCATCAATCATGTGTCTCCTGTAAAAGGACTTTCACACACAGTATACTCTGGAATTTCATATTTAGCTTGTCCATTATTTAATGTTCTTGATGCAGTTGGGACAGTCCAGAATTATCTATATACAAGATTATATATAGGGATTATGGAAACCATTGGGAGACCACAAAGCAGCAATGTAGTTTTTCTTTTCAAATTAGCCTATAATGAAGGATTTTGCAGGGAGAGCAGCAACGAAATATAAGAAGCCGAATGCAGATGAAAATATGTGTACACGCTCTAAAGGACAAGACTTTAAAAAACAACATTTACTGTAGCATTTATGAAATAAAAATGTGGTTTTATGTGACATAAAATACCTCTGGGAAGTTGCCATGTCACACATGGTATACTCCACATTTTAAACATCATTTGCTAATTCTTTATAATTACTATGCATTTTTAACTCATATTTATTGAGAGGCTATTTGTATTTTAAAAATCATTTGTCACAACACAGGACCATTAGAAATGAATTAGCATAGACAAAAATGGTGCAAAGCACTTTCCCTTTATTTTTTAGTATATGTTGCACTGCATCACAATCGACTTGCATCACAAAATACTTCTGTGCGTCATTAAAAACTTCTAAGTGAAATCCCTGTCAATTGGAAAACTGCTAAATACCTCAGAAGAATGCAAAGGATTTGCCTGCCTTGTAATACATTCCTCCCAGATTTAGGAAATTTACTATTATGAAAACTACTACATTAAAACTGTTATGGAGCTACTGCATCAAGTATGATGATCTGTTGTTGCTGATTGATCATGAAGTCTTAGAACCACAATGGATTTGTTCACAGATAAAATCAAGAAAGCAACCCAAAATATCTGTTTGCGCAAATTGCAGAAATATTGGGTTCAGTTTCGTAGAAAATACTGACAGGACTGAACATCGACGGGTAAAGTTAAATGTTTTAGCGGATTCTATTAATGACTGTTCGACTTGCTCCATTATTATTGTTTTAGATTAAAAAGAAAGGAGGAGCGGCACAGTCAAAGCACTTCTCATTGCTCTATCATGCGTCTTTTTTCTTTTAATCCTTGAGAAACATAACATTTACTGTATATAGTACATTGACCGATCTGCAGAGGTTGCATTTTAATTAACTTGGTATCCACTAAAAATAACAAACATACCACTGTAACACTCGGCCCGCTCCCTTGTGCATCAGTTAGAGATGAATATTAAAAATTAATGAACCCACAGGCAAAAACAGAGAAATACGCTTATGGGTCACACACACACACACACACACAACACCGCGTTCACATATCTAGAGAAAATCGTATTTCAAAATCCTAATCATACTGATTACTATAAATAAGAAGTGGGGCATCAGACTGCATGCCACAGTGTTATTTTCATTAACTGCACAAGGCTAAAATACGTTTTGTAAAACTGCACACGGGCGCATAGCGACCAAAGAGCTAATTATCTCACAGCCTTTCGTTTAATATTCATAGGCAATCTCTTTGCATTCACAAAAAAATAGGCAACGTGATTATTGTTGCGCTATTGTTTATTAGACCCGATTTAAACCTGCGCAGAACTGATATGTCTCCTTTTGAGAACACATGAGCAGTGACAGTAGTATTTGGCCACTTGATGAAGGGTGATAAATGTTACAAACTGGTTCTCTGCTCTGCTGACTAGATAATTGAGTCAGTGTTTAGGCACTGTTGAACTCAGATGTCTGTCCACGACCCTCTGTTGTTTACGTGTGAATGAGTCCAGTGTTGTGTATGGGGCGCCAGTGTTCTGCTGCTGACAAACAGGACTGAGCTGCGTTCGCTTATCGCCACAACAATGTAGCATGCGACCTGTCTGCGGCATTTCGAAAGAGAAAATTGAGCAAGCCACTGATAATTGAGTGAAACCAACAGCCTGTTCTTTTAATATGCAGATTTTTTTATTTTATCTAATGACATTTTCCCTCCAAAGATGCATTTATATTTCTAATAAGGCGAGTCTGGTCGCGTGTATTTGCCAGTGATTTAAAAAATGGCTCCTTTTATGCATGCTTTAGTTATTTAATATGTTATTGCGGTCTTAAACAATATAGTGACACTCACATCAGGGAAATATTTGTATAGTCTCATTCAAGCAAATCTTGAAAGTGAGTGGGGGTAAACAGAAAGAAAAAGGTTCATAAATATATAAAGTGATAACCCCATAGATATTATATTAAAACTGCTGTGCATTTTAATTAAATCTAGCTGACTGCCAAAAGGATGCGCGCGGCACTGTATGGTTAGATATGCATCCATCCAATTTGATAACCACGCTTTGAAAATGTTTTGTAAATAATAATAATAAGAAGAAATGAAAGCTGCAGAACTGTACAACTGAGATACGGTTATTAGCAGCGCAACACTTTACTAGAACAAAGTTTACTTCCTACATAACGTTAATGCTGGTGAACTGCAAGCTCTCCAAATGAATCATTCGCATCTCTTAACCAATACCAAAAATGATTTTGAATTTCTCAGGTTAAACGCGCGTCTAGAGCGCTCTCTGATCCTCTGTGAGCGAAAAGAGGCCAACAGTGACGCTGTGCGCAGGAGACCTGGAAGTTCAGCTTCTCTGGGTCCCGCAGACCGACAGATGCGTGTCCTAATGATGCTGGCATGTTCACACAACAGCGAGCGAGGCAGCGGCAGCAACAGTGTTCTCCAACACCTTTTTATAAGTCTGAAGTCTTTCCCCTCCACCCGACCTGTTAAAACCACGCCTACAGTGCGACACAATTGGTCCAAAAGCGTCAAAGAGCCAATCAACAGCGGGCTGCTGCTCAAAACACGCAACACATCCACACCACCGAAGCCTATGGAGTTCAGAAGCACTGGGAATATCTCTGTGCTGCACCCTGTGCTCCGCATATCGCGCTCTGCTGAAATGTGTGTGCGGGAGAGAAAGTGTGTGTGTGAGCGTGCGAAGGTGTATACCTCCAACAAGTAAAGACAGAGGAATTATTTCGAGGCATCGAAATATTTCAACACATCTCTTTGGCGGGACTCGGGACGATCTCATTATTAGCGGAATGTCTATTTTACAGGAATCCGCAAGCTGACACACAGTGACTTGGTCGATTCTTTTATTTTTATTTTCTCGATTTCATAGCGCACCGCCAAAAGACAAGCCGCGAAGATAGCCGTTTCACACTTTCTCTTTTAGATACTTTGTTGGAATCCAGCTAGAGAACCAATTAAGAGACTCACGCGTGGCAGGGACGCTGGACTTGGTGAAGGACTTCTCCGGCGCAGATATTAAGCTGATTGCACATCGATTTAAGGAACACCGCATCTGCTGGCTGGACTTGAATGAGCTTTCCGATGAGAGATCCAGTTATTCAAGGATCCATTATGGCTTATCACCCGTTTTTACCTCACCGGGGTCCGGAATTTGCCATGAGCGCAATGCTGGGTCACCAGCCATCCTTCTTCCCGGCCCTGGCGCTGCCACCTAACGGCTCGCTGTCTCTGCCTGGGGCGCTGGGCAAACCAATAATGGAGCAGCTGATGGGCGCAGCAGAGGCCGGCCTTCACTTCTCCTCGCTGGGACACCACGCCGCCACCGCGCATCTCCGGCCTCTGAAGACGCTTGAGCCCGAGGACGAGGTGGAAGACGACCCAAAAGTTCACCTCGAAGCCAAGGAACTCTGGGATCTTTTCCACAAGCGCGGCACAGAAATGGTCATCACTAAATCTGGAAGGTAAACTGGAATTATTCAATAAATCAGCTGTGCTTCGAATTTAATGAAGTGAAACACAGTCCGAGATCATAGTCGCTATCGTGAGTTCTGATTGATTTATTGATCTGAGTGACTCACGGATTTCTTTAGAGGAGCACATGTGGCAAGATAGCTGGACAGGCCCCTTGCTTTTTATTTTCATTCTGTTTTTGTCTGAGCATATGTTTTTTTTTTTTTGTTTTTTTTTTAACAACGTATAACCCAAGTTTAACTAGGCCTATAAATGTTTGAATCGAAATTCATCGTTGTTGTTGTTGTTTTTTATCGTTATAAAATTAGTTAAGTTATCCTTTTATTAAAGTGCATACAAACTATTAATATCACAAATAGATGTAGCATAGACAAGTGCACAATTCATATTGCTCCGAAGCTGATTTTGAACAGTGAAACACGCGGCTTGAATTATTGTAAAGTTGCATTTGGTAAGTTTTGATTTGTAACTTAGTTTTGCCGTAACGTTAAGTTAAAGAGTTTAGCATTTTTTATTGTTGCGCTGCGTTTAGATTTGGGGGTGTTTCACAAGTTAGGGCTAATGATTGGGCCTAGAGCTTGGTCTGCACACAACAAAATCATTTCAGGTCTTTGCATTTAATGTTTCTCTAGACAGCAAAATTCATCTTGTTGTTTGCATGTTATCGCTCAAGTCAAGTCACGTTTATTTATATAGCGCTTTTAACAATACAGATTGTGTCAAAGCAGCTTTACAGTATTAAATAGGAAAATAGTGTGTCAATAATGCAAAATGACAATAGTAAACACTCAATCTTCAGTCTCTGATCTCTGATCTTCTCTGCAGGCGAATGTTCCCTCCGTTTAAAGTCCGATGCACGGGCTTGGACAAAAAGGCCAAATATATTCTGTTGATGGATATTGTTGCGGCTGATGACTGCAGGTATAAATTTCACAACTCTCGCTGGATGGTGGCAGGAAAGGCTGACCCCGAAATGCCTAAACGGATGTACATCCACCCCGACAGTCCTGCCACTGGCGAGCAATGGATGTCTAAAGTCGTCAATTTTCACAAACTTAAACTGACAAATAACATCTCCGACAAGCATGGATTTGTAAGTGTAAGAAAAGTATAAACTTTATTATTATTATTATTATTATTATAGAGGTTGTTGTTTAAATACGTGTGGTCAGTGTTTGCATTTTCGTTACAAAATGTCTTCGCACTGTCCAACAAGTTTGTATCTGTACTGAGCTATAATTTGAATTTAATTTCAACTACGAGCACACAAATACTGGAAAAAAAATGCAGGCTTCGACTTGTCAGTGAGCAAAAAGCATGCAGAAATATGTACGATTTTTTTACTGTTTATTAAAATATTACTGAAAGTCTACTGTATTTTTTATAAATACTATTTATAAATACTATCGTATTTATATTTCAGACGATACTAAACTCCATGCACAAATACCAGCCAAGATTTCACATTGTGAGAGCCAACGACATACTGAAACTCCCATACAGCACGTTCAGGACCTACGTGTTCCCTGAGACAGATTTCATTGCTGTCACTGCCTACCAGAACGACAAGGTTGGTTATAAGTTTGTGTGTTGAATCTGATTCAACTCTTCACCTGCCGCGCTTAATACTTTGCGCTAAACATTTAATAGCATACACCGTGGTATTACAGGAGAAGTAATGTTTGGTGCTCTCCGTACTTTTGTCTAGAACATATTATTATGCAGTGCATTTCCACATTATACTTACTAGCTGTGTCACTGTGAGGCCTACATCATATTGCAAAGCCTAGTAATACAGAAAACAAACACGCATCGTTTCACTTTCTCCGGTTTGACACACACATGGTTATCTCTCATGTATTATTTATTTATTTATATGAGGCAAAAAATCAGAAGATCTCCAACATTTTGTGTGTGTGTGCGTGTGCGTGAGTGTGTGCGTGTGCGTGTGCGTGTGTGAGTGCGTGCGTGTGTGTGTGTGTCGTACACTGATCAACTTTTCTCTCTTTTTGTGGCCGGCATTAATGTACTTTGCCGCTAGTGAAATGCAGTCTCTTTTTTCACTAAGCAAATATTGAACTTGTGCATCGTTTTCCAGCTTGTTTTGGAATGTCATTCTAGTTAGAGCAGGTGGTTCTGAAGTGTAGCTCTTGGTTACAGTACAGGCACCAGCTCTCTCTCTCTATAGCCAGTCAAAAATTGTGTGTGTGTGTGTGTGAGTTAATTTATTAGAAAACTGCTGAAATATAACATAACCCTTAAGACTCTTGCAGGAAAATAGTGGTAATGCACTAAATGCATATGAGGTGTCAGGGTGGGGAGACTGAATTTATGTTGAGAGGTTGTAGATATAAAAATGTTCTCAATATTTATGAGCTGGAAATGCCCCGTGTTTCCTACAAATACCAGAGTTTGAGACAAGTCACTGCAGGCGTAATGTGGGTATTGTAATGCAGAACAAGCATATAGGCCAGCCCTTTAAACTATAAAATCCTAACGTAATCGTAGTGAGTCATACAGCTGTAGTGCATTTTGAATATGTTTCAATAGGCTGCAAATAATTGATTCAAGTTATCTTTATTCGTGTTATATTGTTTCCATGTTATTACATTTCAGATAACACAACTGAAAATTGATCACAATCCTTTTGCAAAAGGATTTCGTGACACTGGAAATGGGAGACGCGAAAAAAGGTACGACTGAACGAACTGCTTATTTTACCCTGTAGCTACAATAGCATTCCTTAACGTTCTCAAGTTCAGGACACTGATGGTTATTATTGCAGCACGTTCGGTTGTCATGCATTTTACATGGATTCATTCTAATCATAATAAAAGTAAGATGAACTAAAAACTCAAGAACGTGTTGTACAGACTTATTTGACTCTAATGCAATTAGAAGGTGGTTTACGCTTTCTCAATTTTCCGTCTCCGACTTTTATTTCATACAGAAAACAGCTGGCTCTGCAATCGATGCGTTCGTTTGAGCAGCAGCAGAAAAAAGAAAACGGGACGTCAGATGATTCCTCAGGCGAACAAGCGTCCTTCAAATGCTTTCGCCAGGCTTCGTCTCCTGCGGTCTCAACTGTTGGCCAGAATACGTTAAAAGGTACGAGAGTCAGATAAGCCGTGTGTGCATTTGACAAACATTTACTTTCAGATCAAAATCAAGCTTTCTCTTATACGATTGAAATCGCCCAATTATTTCCATGGATACTAATGCAAATTATTTTGTGAAAGACTGCACTCTAAAAAAATGCTGGGTTATTTCAACCCAACTTTGGGTCAAATTTGGACTAACCCAAATTAACTTTTGGGTTAAAAATGTAATGTAAAAATTTAACCCAACGGTTGGGTTAGTCCATATTTGACCCAAAGTTGGGTTAAAACAACCCAGCATTTTTAGAGTGCATGCTAATTGGAGAGTCGAATCAAGACGAATCAAGATGCCACACATTAAAATCTGTTGTAGCAAAATCCCCAAATGTGCCATGTATGTTACTATATTTGTAGGGCACCAAATTAGTATTTATTTCACGTGCATTTTGCATTAACTCTAACTGTGCTTTTACTGATTTTAAACGCCATGCATGTAGTGTCTTGCGGTCTGCATTTATAAAAAGGCACATCCAAGTGTCTAATATAAACTAGATCCAAATGGTGTTTCGCACTCTCGCAGATTTTTGCGACAGTGATGAAGATAGCGACGAAGACAAAGATGGAAACGTGAAAGAGGGGCCAGACTCGAGCAAAATCTCCACCACGACCGAGGACTCCAAGGATCACGATGCGAGTTTAAGCAGAAGCCTGTTTGTGGAAAGTGACTCTGTCCAGCGGAGAACTGAAAAGATACGGGACTCGCGGCAGAGTCCCATCACGCTCATCTCGAGCACCACTCGGTCCGGCGAGGAGCTCAAGAGCCCGGATCAGGCCAAAACAGACGACTGCCGGACACTGAGCAAAGAAAATTACATGCCATTGACTGTGCAAACAGATGGCGCTGCGCACTTAAATCAAAACCACTTGCACAATTTCGGATTTCCGCCGGGTTTGGCCGGGCAGCAGTTTTTCAGTCACTTGGGTGGTGCCCATCCGTTTCTCTTGCACCCTGGTCAGTTCAGCATGGGAGGCGCTTTCTCAAACATGGCCGCAGGGATGGGCCCCATACTGGCAGCTGTTTCCTCCGGAGGGGTCAGTTCGATGGACACGAGCAGCATGCCATCACCCTCGCAGAGCCTGACGGGAGCACCGCTGCCCTTCCACCTCCAGCAACATGTCCTGGCCTCGCAGGTGAGCCTGTTAATCATGATCAGCAGTGAAAGCATCTCATAGATGCTTTAGTCCTAACCTGCAGCTTGTTTATGAACAATCTCAAGTATGCTTTTGTGGCTACATTCGAGACTTCGGGAAAAACAATGAGGTGTGGCATATCTTGCAGTGTTTAATGGTCTTTGTTGCGCAGTCCATAAATTGTCAGCAAATATAGAACAACTGACAACTGTTGCTGGAGATTAGCAATAAAGCTGCTCTTGACGGATGTGCGCAGACAGTGATATGTCCCAATTAATTTGTAAAAAAGAGAAAACTTTCTCTTTTTCAAATTAATTGCTATATATATATATATATATATATAGCAATTAATTTGAACATTTCTTCCAAAATGAGCATTTTTCACAGACACCTATGTTTATGTTCAGTTATTTCGCTTTAATAGCAATGACAATAATTCATTGCTATTGCTTTTCATTGTCATTAAAGTGAAAGTACTGAATCTACACATAGGAGCCTGAGAAAAATGCTCATTTTAGAAGAAAATTTCAAACGGCACTTAGAGGCTTTTGCATCTGAACTCTTTATATGTATAAATACTATAGTATATATATAGAGAGACAGAGAGAGATAGAGAGAGAGAGAGAGAGAGAGAGAGAGAGAGCAAGCAAAAAAAAAAGTGACCAAAAATGATAGCATGTAAATTATTGAATTTTTTTTTTAAATCAAGTCAAAGTCAAGTTTGCAATGAATGAATCAAGCTAAATACACAATGTATACTAACAAAGCATTTTTGTGGGTTAAATCAGATATTCAGAAATGGATCTTTCAGGTGACAATTGCACGTTATCATATTTTACAGTATATATACTTAACATAGGCCACGACATCTTTCTGAGAAATAAAAACAATGCGTGTGTGTGTGTGTGTGTGTGTGTGTGTGTGTGTGTGTGAAGGGAAAAGGTGTAAATATAAATTAGGAGCAAGGGAACGAAAGAGCAGGATTAAATAAAGGTGCATATTCAGATTTTCTTTTAATGACAATTATGTAATGAATTATTAATTTTGACCTCTGGTTTTGACGAAAAATACAGCATTTTATATAGGCTATTCCCTTTTGGTCGCCATGTAAAAAGTCATTCTAAAGTCAGTTTACATACTTTACAGAGGACAACGTGTATGATCAACGCCAAATGTTTCAGTTGTTTATTTTGTTAAATATCTATCTATCTATCTATCTATCTATCTCTGTAGGGTCTGGCTATGTCTCCCTTTGGAGGTCTCTTCCCGTATCCCTACACGTACATGGCCGCCGCAGCAGCTGCTTCATCCGCCGCTTCTTCATCGGTTCATCGTCATCCGTTTCTAAACGCGGTGCGGCCCCGGTTACGGTACAGCCCTTACTCTTTACCGAGCGTCCCCGACAGCACTTTGCTTACGACGGCTGTGGCGAGCAGTGGCATGGATCTGAAGGGAGACGGGGTGACGGCGAGTCTGGACTCTGAGGTCACCAGCCGCTCGTCTGGTTCGGTATCAGTGTCAACGAAACCCTGCGCCGAGACAGATTCCCGCAGCGAGCTGCAGAGCATCCAGCGCCTGGTCAGCGGACTCCAGTCCAAACCGGACAGAGCGCGCAGTGCGTCTCCATAGACATCACCGACGAGCAACCCCTGTACACTACGGACCTGCATCGGAGAAAACGTTTGGACTCAAAATGCACTTTGGTAAAACAAATAAACACGTAAATGTATGTTGTTCTTTTGTTACATTAAAACAGTAACTTTGATTCCCCCACC